AGAAATGGTTTTCCAATTCTAATGTGCTCCTTTTCCGTTGTTGTTTCGCCTGACAGATGTTTATTTTTTTATTTTTAATTGGTCCTTTAATTTATTTAATTTATATATATTATTTTTTAAATGCTTTTTATTCATTTATTTATTTAGTTAGTTAGTTTATATCTTTAATGTTATTATTATTATTTAAATTTTTGAATATCCTTTTTACTGAAATCAATGAGGGAAGGCTAAAAGCACAGGGGGCTTCATGTCGTTTAATCAGATTAGCTTCTGTTTCACTTCGATTCCATGCATTAAGACGGTTTACTATAGTTGCCTTGTGGCTCTTACAGCCCACGCTCTGCTAATGCAATGACTGACACGACCTTTGCTTCCAATATTTTGAAGGTATTGTTGGGTAGAGGTCATACAGGGTCTAATATGAGATGTTTACTGTGCCGTTAGTGGACAGTATGGGTGACAGTCCTGTATGGTTCAGCTTCTACCCTAATTGACCTATCGAAAAGACCCTATGACAGAATGCCCGAGCATACAAACTGAGAGCCATTTCAAGGATGTCTTGCCTTAAAGAGACTTTTATATCAGTGTCTGCTACTATTGAGTTTGAATATGAATGTCTCTACTGCCTAGCAACTTCCTGCTAATATAAACATAACTTTCGGATAGCAAAAACATATTTTTACTTGAGATATGTCTTTCAAAAATTGAGATGTCTTTCAGGATATTCAGTGCCACGAAAAAGTCTTCTCACCTGCATGTGAAAGTGAAAAAAAAATTAAGCCTTGGATATTGGTCTAGCAATCTAACTACATTCTTAGGCTGTATTACCAATGAGTTCGTATTTATAGTATGATGACTTAATTATGACGACCATATTATTATTATGTTTTTATTTGTTCTGTTATTTATTTATTTCATATTATTATTAGTTTATTATTTTAATTTTATAAATATGTATTTATTTATTTTATTTTTTTGTTTTTGTTTTTTTGTCATTATTTTTGTTATTATACCATAAAATTTACTTCATTTTAATGTTTCTTTATGGATATATATATATATATATATATATATATATATATATATATATATATATATATATATATATAAATATAAAAAAAAAAAATAAACAAAAAAAAAAACACAAACAAACAAAAAAAAAACAAATATATATATATATATATATATATATATATAAATAAATAAAAAAAAAAAAAAAAAAAATATATAT